GGGGGGGGGACTCCACATATTCCGGGGGGGGGAGGTGTGGCGCCGCCCCTCAAACCCTGGTTAAAAAAAATGTAGCTTATTTTCCTACCCTGTTTAAGACAAAATTCCGATTTTTGATACCCTGTTTAAGAAATTTATCTTGATAGATCGATACCCTGATTAAAACGGCCTTATGAGGGGGAACCCCCCCCCCCCACCCCCAGGATAGTAATATAATAAATATGATACTACAGTACCTAACTAAAATGCTCTTTTAAAAATAACAACAATGAAATTAAAAAAAGCCATTAAAGTGATATGAAGAAAAAAATAAAAATTATTGCTTATCTTCTCATGTTTACGTCTGAGTATCAGAAAGTAATGAATATTCTCGGTGCGTGACGCCGTGTAAACTGTGCGTGACGCTGTGTTTTAACTGTGTGTTTTTATCGTGCAAAGAATCATGGAAGACTTTGACGTGTCAACGCATGCGTAGAATATGCCAACGAAGTAAAGTTTGTTGTGCAGCTCATTTTCAGCCGATTTTGGAAGGAAAATAGCGCGGAAGAACGACTTTTAACACCAATTATATGCTTGATTCTTGAAAAGATTGAACTGTTTTATAGCCATGTTACCAGAACCTGCAAACTCGTCGTACTCTTCGCCTTCGAAGAAGCGTTCAAGGTGTTTGTCTACTTCCATGCAGTACAAGTATCTTCGACGAATTTTGAAATATCGACATATGGATTTTGAATTTGCTCTCTGGCAGATGCTATACTTATGCATTTCACCAAGAAAAGTGTAAGTATTGCTGCTATATTGTGACGGTACATGTTGTGCTGCGAGGATATTTTTGTTTTGCACACCTGCCTTTGGTTGGATGACAGCAAGAATCAAGCTGATACGTTAAACATTTTCTTGCCTAATAGGTGCAGCTGTGGTAACTTGACTTCTGTTTCGGTGCATTCTAATTTCAAACTTCTTTCATACTTTGTCTATCCTACCTTGGTGTATAATTTTTTCTTTGCCAAAATTAATGCTCATAGACTGCTTGCAACCCGCCATATAAGTTTTGCTTTCAATTCCTCAAGGGACAATAATTAGTCCCACGAGAAATTGAACCCAGTACCTGTGCAAAATTTTGAGGGGAAAACAAATTACATTATGGGAACATGAAAGTTGTGGATAGAATAGTCGCAAATAGATGAACATGGGAAAGAGGCCTGTGAGGTTGGTGGAGCCATATCCTACAGGCTGAGCATGTATAGCACATGAAACCATGACATCCCTGAAAGCAGCAACTAGCAGGTGGTAATGCACTGACAGATAGTGTTGGGAGTTGGCTGAGATTTCATAATCGATCATCGGAAGTGATCGGATTGACCCACCTGATCAATTATTTAATATAATATTAGAAAAAACTCTTTATAAGAATTCTGTTTATTTTTGCTACTGTGCCGCATTTTAGAGCACAACAAAAACATACCAAATGTATCAGAAAAGGAACATCAGTGGATTCGCCATAGAGTTCAAGTACCTCAGTGGTTAGAGTGTTGGATCTAGAACCCTGAGGGTTGTGAGTTCATTTCTTGACTGGAGTTCAGAATTTTTAATGTGCTTTCGGCGATCAAATTCTTGAAAAGACAACACACAAGTTTGCCAACAAGAAATTATTTTTTTCCGTAATAATCGGGCCGGGTATTTTCCTTGGCTTCATGTACTATGAATGTGACCCCTGGCTACTTTCATTTGAAATAGAAGAAAAATAAAACCAAAAGAAATCCATAGCTGTTTGATTCCCCACCTACTTGTTGTATTTACGCGGCAACTTGAAATCTTCGTGACAACCCTGCTTAGCGTTAATGACATTTAGCTCATAACATAAATGCAGGTAATTTGAACCCTTGTTTTATTGGCCATCTGCAAAAGCTTCATTAATTAATTTACAAAATTTATAAACTGATTCAAATGATATAGAGATATACATGCATGATATTTCTTAGGTCATACTGTATGTTCTAAAATGTCATCAACATTAATTTCTGTATTTGTTGCCTTTCAATTTTCTTAGATACCGCAACTTTCATTATCACAAACGTGAGTATACGTGCATTTGACATGTTTTATTATTTTAATCACTATTGTTTTTAAACTTGGGTGCAGTTTTATTAAACTAATAAATTAAAATAGACAAAAACTGAACACAGCGCAGTTGACCATGAAACATTATTAACGTCAAATTTTTAAAACTAGGAATGTGCTTTGTTTAGAACAATGATAAATATTGATATGATAGTATTGGATAAAGGTAAATAAGATGTAAGATGCAGGTTAAAATATCTGATGTTATGGTGTCTATTTCCTACCCAGAAACTAAAGACCAGTGGGCCAGAGATGATCCAGCTTTTCTTGTGTTACTTAGCATTTGGCTGTGTGGTAAGCTACCACTTGTTGCAACTATTCCTTTGACTTCAAATCGTTCACTATTTGTCCAAGTCTGACACCCTCACCCAAGGCTACTTTTGGCTACCCCACTCAAGGACTGCCACTAAGATTTCAATTTGCCTGGTATACTGAATATACAGTCAGCAGATGGGGAATTGAACGGCCAGGAAGTTCTTGATTACTATTTTCCTGTTGCTTTTGGGTCTGTTTTCTTTTTCTGTTGTCTTCCAGTCTTTTAAGTAATTTCACCTGATACCAAACTGCTTGTCTCCTTTTCCCAATGAAGCAGTATAAGTTTGCTTTCAGTTTTGCATCTTGCTGGTTGTATTATTGCAGTTTCGTCTCCTCCAGGTAAAAAAAATGGGACTTTATTGTACATTCTTGATTGTTGGGAGAATGTTGTTCTCCTTTTTACTTAATGTGCTATGTTATTACTTTGTTTTTAATTTGGTTATATTTCAAGGGAGTGATCCTTCCTTTCTATATTAATGTAACCAGTGACTCTTTGTCTTTCTTGACAGTGTCGTCAATTGGCTTTGCTATTGCACTTCATATTCCGTTTATAGGATTTTTGAAGTTCTTATTATGGGTTGTTTTTGTGGATTGCATTGGTGTTGGTCTCATCATAGCTTCGTTGCTATGGTAAGTTAAAACCACATATTGCCTTCAAAAACGTTGTACAACTACTGTCTGTGTACAAAAATGCAGAGTGTCACTGAAGTTATCAAATATTGTCAGGGCTGGCAAGTGATTTTCAAAATAACTTTGCATGAATGAGTTTTTACTCATCAAAATAATTCGGCCAAGGCACAGTAGATCCCTAATCCATCAAATAAATTAATTTTATTATAAATTAACTAATTAAACGTTATTAGTTTGAGTTATTTTATCAGTTCTAATATTGACATGAAACGTCATTTTTCTTTTATCATTTTCAACTGGAAATAATCCAAATGAAACTGAAAAATGCAATAATTTCTAGTTTTTATTAGAAGGAGGCTTTCCTAACAGTCAGTAACCATTCTTGCTATATTTAAACCTGCATCCACTAAAGGATACAAGAGTAATACGTAGCTCGTTATCAGTTGATCGTAGTGGTCATCAATTCTGTGTTTTGTTCACAGGTTCTTCTGCAACAGATATTTACGCATATCCACTGCTTATGATCCAGGCCAGAGAGTGGAGTGGGCATACGCATTTGATGTTCACCTCAATGCCTTCTTTCCCCTATTGCTGATACTGCATGTTATCCAACTCTTTTGTATGCAGAGTAAATACCCTTTGTTTGTTAACAAATTATTCTGTACCTATTTCATTCTTACTAGTGAGTTAATGCACAGTATCTTTGCATCACTGCGGCCCAATGAAATTTGCTTGGAGTAGGAGTTTGGCAGCCAGTACTAACACTTTCCACCTAATTCACAGACACAACTTTTCGTTTATGACTTTATCATTATGGCAGATTATAATCTCTGGACCTTGTGCCTACATGCACTTCTGATTTAAAGTTGATAGCTGATAGCTACAAAAGTTTTGCCACCTATTAATACTGGTATCTTGCTCTTTCCGTAGTGTCAGTTTAATGCCATACCTTACACAAACATTAAATGGATAGCACCATTTATAAACAAACAGGAAATGAATATCTATATTAATAGTGGGAATTCAAATTCAGGCAACCTTTGTTAAGATAATTCAAATAATAATTATATTTCATAAAGGGTTCTATTGACCTTTCATTAATTTTATTATCATTCTTTTTTTAGTTATAATAGATCATCCACTGTTTATTTCAAGATTTATTGGTAATTCTCTTTGGCTGATCGCTCTGATTTATTATATCTACATCTCATTCCTAGGATATAGTGGTAAGTTGATTGAAGTGTCCTCTGAAAAATTAAAATTTAAAAAATTGTCTTTTGTGGATTTCTTCCCTGCTCCTGCTCATAAACTCATTTTTTACACTGTCAAAAGCATGAAGCAAGTTTGGAGATGGGATTTTGGGGCCCTTAATACACACACTGTAATTATGTGCATATTGGCTTGAATTAAGTGAGATGAAAGTGAGGTCCTTGCACCCTTCATTTTCATTAATTAATTTTATTGTTGTTTTTTTTATTCACAGCATTGCCATTTCTTCGCAAAACAGTAGTCCTGCTTTATCCAGTCCTGCTGGTCGTAATAGGGTATGTTGTCTCCCTTGCTGTGGGTTGGAATATTGGTCAGGCGTTTATGCAGTTTTACAGGTACAGAGTAGTATGATGTTAAATGGAGGATACATTATCTGCAAGGGGAAGACCATAAGGATGTACATCTCCAGCCACTTGAACTGTTTCAATTGCAAGGTGGTCTGGATATGGAATGCTCCCATAAGAGTCCACTGACAGCATTTTATGGAGACAGAAAACACTTCAGCAGGCTTTTACCAACAGAGTCGAGTATCACGGTTTCTGAGCCAGTAAGCTGCTAAGCGAGTGCGTCACTTCTGTTATCTTTACAGCCAAGAAAATGAAGCTGTAGTACAGTTATTGTCAGTCATACCAAGGGGATTTTACATAGTAATGTTTCTCAAGGACTGCTTTCTTTTGTGGTTTTAGAAATTAACTGTTAAAAATATTTTGTACCACAAGACATTGAAGTTCCAAAATAAAAAATCAAAACATTGATCACTTAGCTGCAAACGTTATGGATCAATTTAGGTTTCCGGGAAACTGCCCACCTACCCCTCCCCTAACCCAACATTTTGCCCCAAGGGAGATGCAAATGTTAACATTGAGGTGGGGGAGGGGTAGGTGGGCAGTTTCCTAGAAACCTACATTAATCCAAAGTTACCAGAACATTCTGTGAAGAGAAATCTATTATTGGTTTTGAAGAGTACAGAAATTTTTAACTAACCCAAGGATACCTGGTTGCTATGAAACCAAGGACAGGAATAGTTTGGTCTGTAAAGAAAGTCTGATGTATATGATATTTGATATGGAAAAGATTAATTTAAATATGTATGTAAAAGAAGAAAAACAAATAAATTTCATTGTGACAGCTCTGTGATGATCTGGGTAGTAATTGTTAGAATGACCTGTGCTTTTTTTCTTGCATCACTATTTTGTGTAAATCAGCCCTTTATATAACTTACAGAGCCTGAGGTGTAATTGGAATGTCAAGAGTTCTTAAAGGAACTATTGAAAATCTAAATACAGAGTCACAGGTAGTGTCAGGAGCACGGTGGAATCAGCACAAGAATCAGAGTTTTTCCATTTTTTTCCAACTCCCCTCTTACCTTTGTTGCTTCCGATCTAAAGAGAAAACCATATTGTCACAGTCACAAGCAGAAGGTGAGAAAAAAACAATGGCAGTGCTCATGACTATGAAAATCTTGTGTTCACAAGATAATAATCCGAACTCTGCATACACTTCATAATACTCTGCTTTTATGACTACAATATTAAAAAATGGCTTGACCATATTTTGTATAATGATTTAATTAACACCAACAAAAAAAGACAAATAATAATTAGGGTGCAAATAATGGAAGGGAAGCCACTATAGCAATAACCAATAACAAAGGTCCCCAAATTTATAAGTGTTAATAGATTTTTAAAGCCATCATGTAAGTGGTCCTAACTGCATGGTAGGGTCACAACAAGAGTTTATTTCCTTTGATTTATTACAATTCTTAATATATTAAAGGTGTTTCAATTCCTAGCCTTCTGACTGGAGTTAAAAAAATTAATTATTAATGTGTTACAAACAGTAAGTTATTGTTTGTAACATTTACATATTATATCTGTATTTTTTTTACTTTCTTTATTTCCTATCTGCAATATTATTTATATGTTTTGTTTTTATTTCTTAGCTTATTTTATGCTTAGTAGAAAGCAGTTTAAAGCAGTCATAAAGCTTATAAAGTCTGGGATGAAAAACATTTAACATGAACTTTACATTATTATTGCATTGCTTTGCGATTTGGATGGCACATTCAGGGTTGTCATTAAGAGCCGGGGGCCGGGGATTTTCCCTGGCTACTAAGAGACTGGTCCCCGACTACTTTTATTGGAAAATAGAAGAAAAATAGAACCAAAAGAAATCCCTAGCCGTTTGATTCCCCGCCTACTTGATGTATTTACCCGGCAACTTGAAATCTTAGTGACAACCCTGCACATTGCATAATATTCCTGCTGCCCTTGATGAGAGGAGATGAACAAAAAGACTGTCAGTTTGTCCTTGTATCGTTGCTTGGTTTTTTTGTGTGATTAATGCATATATGCCGTGGCAAATTTCCTCATAATCATTGGAAATGTATTCAGCGTCTTGGTAGCTTTGGAGTCAATCATGTTGATAGCTGCATCACATATCTTTATCAGAAAAATAGTAAAAATTAATTAAGAAGTTTAAACCGAAGCTTCTTTAAATTTGTGCAAGTATCTGATTCATGTCTACATCTGTTGACTTGTGAGAAATAGAACAGAGAACAGAGTTTATATTGGTTCATATAGAAAAATTTATTTTTTAAGCTTTCAAAAGAAAACCGTGTAGCCAAAATATTACAACTATAATATTATTGAAGGAATTTCTAACCTGTTTGGTCAGTTGATCTTTTAGGTGTGATGCCAATCCATCAGCAAACATGTTATAAAGCCAGCTGCAGAGAAAATCAATCATTTTATTTTAACCTCTCTTATGTTTATAATAAATCACGCTGCACTTTGTTGTGGGTAATTGCATATAGACCTTTTTTTTGGTTTGTTTTTGGAACAAGTTGAAATCAATGAAGACTAGAATTAAGTCTAAATCTACAAATCCTCATTGTAGAATTATAGACCAATAGGCATGCTTTGCAGCTGGTCAGAAACATCATGCCAGAATGCAAGGGACACACTGCCATAAGACAAACAAAGAGCTTACATCATTTAAAATGCTAGTTTTCTTTGTGTTGTCACAGTGGTTTGTTCAGAGTGTTCATTAGGCATCAGAGATTGGAGAATTCCCCGTTTACTGCACTGAATTCTCCAGCTAATATTTGGTAGTGTAGGACACTTTATTATTCAGACATGTAGCCGCTTTCAAAATATTCTCTGGTAACATTACATGCTTCTCCTGCTACTAAAATTCTTAATGAAAACCCTGGCTTTGTTTGTTTGTTGTGCTTCCCAGCATGGTATTTTAATTCGTACATGACTGACCAGCTGAAAAAAGCTCATAGGTACAATGGCTGAAGACTTGTCTTGAGGATGCCTCGCTACTAACGTTTGAAAGAAATTAAGTCCCACTAAGGGCGTTAACAACCACAGACACCCACCAGCAGTCCCATGGGTGACCACAATGAGGGCAGTTGAATATTAAGATTATTATATTGAGGGTAGATAGCTAAGACTGGCAAATTTCCCTCACACCAGGATCTTAAACATAAGAACTGTAGGTTATTTAACTGTACATTATTTATTTAATTTTCTTTTGTCGAAAATCCAATGAGAAACAAATTATTGGTCATTACCTTGCTCCTCCTTTGAATTTGACATGTAAGGTGCCGATGTTTATTGAGCAATCCTTTGCACTGACCTTGGCATCCTTTGTTTCCAAATCACCTTTTAGCCAAAAAAAGAAAAAAAAATAGTCACCCACCGCTAGTCTTGTCAGATCTAATTATGGCACTTCAAAACCCTAGACTGGAAAAGATGTTTACTTTGAACCTATTTTTAAGGGCTGATGTACAGATAAAACAAGTGTATGCAGGTACAGAACCTGTTGAGTGGCACATCACTGCACCATTGTAACAGCATGTTTCTTTTTATGTGCTGATGATCCATGCCGGATCATTATGCGTTTCTGGGAAAGTGCCCACCTACCCTTCCCCTAAGCCAACATTAATACTTACTTCTCAGTTAGGGCAAAATGTTGCCTTAGGGGAGGGGTAGGTGGGCAGTTTCCCAGAAACATATAATGATTCCTGATGCATGTGGTAATATCTTTGTATCACATGATGACTCAGCCTCGAGTTGGGTATATTATAACTAACCGTCAACATAAAAAGCCATTCCAAGTGAAAGATCTTTGACTGACAGCACACATGTTCCTGAATCAGAAATATGCGGCCTAGACAGGAAAAGAAACAACGTTAAACGCAAGGACTGTTACTGTTACTCTGGCCGGTTTCCAGACACTTAAGTTGGATATTAAAACAAACTTCTATATTTCCTTAGTTTTATTCATTTTGTACTTAGACATTGTATATTTGGAATCTTATTTTTTTTTTTGTAATTTTAATTTAGATAGAGGGCCACAAGTTTACTGGTTTCTGTAACTATTCTGTGCTACCCTCTTTAAATAAAGTGTACTATTATTATTATTATTATTATTATTATTATTATTATTATTATTATTATTATTATTATTGTTATTATCATTATTATTATTAAGTAATAATTATTTTTTTATTACTATCTCTCAGTAGAAAGTAAATTTGTAGAACTGAAAGCCACAGCTTGCAGGAGGTAACTGGTTAGCAATTTACAAGCATGCAGCAGAGGAAGTGGACTTGGAACTTGACTAAAAACAAATGCAGCCAGTGGTTAGACTGGGACCCAAACCCAAAACCTCCAGGGTGCGAGGCCCACATACTGACCACTCAGCCATATTGTTCGTCCTTGCTTACCACGCACTTTCCTTATAGTGCCAGGCAGCTTCAACATTCCCTGAGGCATGATCAGCCAAAAGCTTTAAGCCATGCTCTGGTATCAAAGACATATTGGACTTCTGAATCACCACATTTGATAACTTGATCCTGAAAAAAAAAATGTACATTACTGCGAAGACTTTTTGTTTAAATGTGCATAATCCTCCTCTTTGGCTCCACATCCCAAAAGGACTAAGTCTTGCTAGTAAATCCCAATGCCTTCTCCAAATGTGTCCTTAGAGCATTCCACTTCTTCAATGGAACACTTGGAAGATGTAAGGTTTTTCAAAGGATGCATTCATGCAATTTTTCAAACAGGATCATATCTGTCCTCTTCTCCTCAGTCTTTTCCATTCATAAAAACAAGGATGTAGACTTACTTGGAGAGATCATACTGTACATCCCCCAGTGGAGTCTTGATGTTTCCATTGATATTTGGTACACTCAAGTCATTGAGTTCTTTTGCAACAAATGGAAGAATAGTGTGCTGCACTGTCAAAAGTTGCCATACCTTACACAAACATTAAATGGATAGCACCATTTATAAACAAACAGGAAATGAATATCTATATTAATAGTGGGAATTCAAATTCAGGCAACCTTTGTTAAGATAATTCAAATAATAATTATATTTCATAAAGGGTTCTATTGACCTTTCATTAATTTTATTATCATTCTTTTTTTAGTTATAATAGATCATCCACTGTTTATTTCAAGATTTATTGGTAATTCTCTTTGGCTGATCGCTCTGATTTATTATATCTACATCTCATTCCTAGGATATAGTGGTAAGTTGATTGAAGTGTCCTCTGAAAAATTAAAATTTAAAAAATTGTCTTTTGTGGATTTCTTCCCTGCTCCTGCTCATAAACTCATTTTTTACACTGTCAAAAGCATGAAGCAAGTTTGGAGATGGGATTTTGGGGCCCTTAATACACACACTGTAATTATGTGCATATTGGCTTGAATTAAGTGAGATGAAAGTGAGGTCCTTGCACCCTTCATTTTCATTAATTAATTTTATTGTTGTTTTTTTTATTCACAGCATTGCCATTTCTTCGCAAAACAGTAGTCCTGCTTTATCCAGTCCTGCTGGTCGTAATAGGGTATGTTGTCTCCCTTGCTGTGGGTTGGAATATTGGTCAGGCGTTTATGCAGTTTTACAGGTACAGAGTAGTATGATGTTAAATGGAGGATACATTATCTGCAAGGGGAAGACCATAAGGATGTACATCTCCAGCCACTTGAACTGTTTCAATTGCAAGGTGGTCTGGATATGGAATGCTCCCATAAGAGTCCACTGACAGCATTTTATGGAGACAGAAAACACTTCAGCAGGCTTTTACCAACAGAGTCGAGTATCACGGTTTCTGAGCCAGTAAGCTGCTAAGCGAGTGCGTCACTTCTGTTATCTTTACAGCCAAGAAAATGAAGCTGTAGTACAGTTATTGTCAGTCATACCAAGGGGATTTTACATAGTAATGTTTCTCAAGGACTGCTTTCTTTTGTGGTTTTAGAAATTAACTGTTAAAAATATTTTGTACCACAAGACATTGAAGTTCCAAAATAAAAAATCAAAACATTGATCACTTAGCTGCAAACGTTATGGATCAATTTAGGTTTCCGGGAAACTGCCCACCTACCCCTCCCCTAACCCAACATTTTGCCCCAAGGGAGATGCAAATGTTAACATTGAGGTGGGGGAGGGGTAGGTGGGCAGTTTCCTAGAAACCTACATTAATCCAAAGTTACCAGAACATTCTGTGAAGAGAAATCTATTATTGGTTTTGAAGAGTACAGAAATTTTTAACTAACCCAAGGATACCTGGTTGCTATGAAACCAAGGACAGGAATAGTTTGGTCTGTAAAGAAAGTCTGATGTATATGATATTTGATATGGAAAAGATTAATTTAAATATGTATGTAAAAGAAGAAAAACAAATAAATTTCATTGTGACAGCTCTGTGATGATCTGGGTAGTAATTGTTAGAATGACCTGTGCTTTTTTTCTTGCATCACTATTTTGTGTAAATCAGCCCTTTATATAACTTACAGAGCCTGAGGTGTAATTGGAATGTCAAGAGTTCTTAAAGGAACTATTGAAAATCTAAATACAGAGTCACAGGTAGTGTCAGGAGCACGGTGGAATCAGCACAAGAATCAGAGTTTTTCCATTTTTTTCCAACTCCCCTCTTACCTTTGTTGCTTCCGATCTAAAGAGAAAACCATATTGTCACAGTCACAAGCAGAAGGTGAGAAAAAAACAATGGCAGTGCTCATGACTATGAAAATCTTGTGTTCACAAGATAATAATCCGAACTCTGCATACACTTCATAATACTCTGCTTTTATGACTACAATATTAAAAAATGGCTTGACCATATTTTGTATAATGATTTAATTAACACCAACAAAAAAAGACAAATAATAATTAGGGTGCAAATAATGGAAGGGAAGCCACTATAGCAATAACCAATAACAAAGGTCCCCAAATTTATAAGTGTTAATAGATTTTTAAAGCCATCATGTAAGTGGTCCTAACTGCATGGTAGGGTCACAACAAGAGTTTATTTCCTTTGATTTATTACAATTCTTAATATATTAAAGGTGTTTCAATTCCTAGCCTTCTGACTGGAGTTAAAAAAATTAATTATTAATGTGTTACAAACAGTAAGTTATTGTTTGTAACATTTACATATTATATCTGTATTTTTTTTACTTTCTTTATTTCCTATCTGCAATATTATTTATATGTTTTGTTTTTATTTCTTAGCTTATTTTATGCTTAGTAGAAAGCAGTTTAAAGCAGTCATAAAGCTTATAAAGTCTGGGATGAAAAACATTTAACATGAACTTTACATTATTATTGCATTGCTTTGCGATTTGGATGGCACATTCAGGGTTGTCATTAAGAGCCGGGGGCCGGGGATTTTCCCTGGCTACTAAGAGACTGGTCCCCGACTACTTTTATTGGAAAATAGAAGAAAAATAGAACCAAAAGAAATCCCTAGCCGTTTGATTCCCCGCCTACTTGATGTATTTACCCGGCAACTTGAAATCTTAGTGACAACCCTGCACATTGCATAATATTCCTGCTGCCCTTGATGAGAGGAGATGAACAAAAAGACTGTCAGTTTGTCCTTGTATCGTTGCTTGGTTTTTTTGTGTGATTAATGCATATATGCCGTGGCAAATTTCCTCATAATCATTGGAAATGTATTCAGCGTCTTGGTAGCTTTGGAGTCAATCATGTTGATAGCTGCATCACATATCTTTATCAGAAAAATAGTAAAAATTAATTAAGAA